GCATATCTTGTCACGACAACCAGCAGGAATCCTTTCGCTCCTCGTAAACATTTACGCAGACTCTGACCAGATAATACTACATATTCACAGCCCCAGTTGGAGGTCTTGACACACACGAGGGTGTCTAATCAGTTGTTGGAGAGTACTGTATTTTATACATCATGGCACGATATGTTAATAATAGCTGGAAAGGAAATCTAATTTGGTGAACATTTGAAAAAATTGGGTTATATTTTTAGGAAGAATTTGTACTTGTAGACTGAAAATATTACTCTCTGAATATCGTTCCTCCACAATTACCAGGACTGTTATTATTTCCATTCTATCCTGACAAACATCATGGTCACTTTGACCACTATAACTTTGTTTGGAGCCCAGTTTGAATGACAAGGCTAAAAATAGCTGTCAAATCACATGACACTCATTAAGATAGTGAGTGAGTGAGTGAGTTTGAATTAATGCTGATCTTAACAGTATTCCAGTTATATCATGGTGTCAGCTTACTGTGGGAGGAAAGCCCAAAGTGATGCAAGTGTCAGACCTATACCACTTTGGTGAAACCCACAAGCACGGGTATGGTGCTGACAAACCTAGAAACATAATTGGGGCGAACCTGGAATCGAACCTAGAGTCATTGGTTTCTGGCGTGTCCAAGGGACTCAACTCTGCATAGCAAATTGTGATGCCTTAGATGGCTGGACCACCCGTGCCCCCCCGAGTAAGCGATAAGGGAGATGGTGAAGGTGATATCCAAGAGTTATTAAGCTATGGTAGAAAATGGATGCAGATTATTTATCATAATACTATAGAGATATAATACACTTGATAGCAGAGGTGAGGTGAGATGAAATGGGGTTCAATGTCACGTTCAAGATTATTACACTTATATAGCGATGTGCATGCACGAGTGTGTGTGTGTGTGTGTGTGTGTGTGTGTGTGTGTGTGTGTGTGTGTGTGTGTGTGTGTGTGTGTGTGTGTGTGTGTGTGTGTGTGTGTGTGTGTGGCTGCTTGTACTAGTCCGGACTAATGCCGATTTATAGTGCTAGCCCATTGAGATACCATGCTGCGGTTTAACATGAATATCCGACTCAGACACTGTATACTGACTCTGAGACGATCAATCCTTGTTTTAGCCCCTTAATGCCGAGCACCAGACAGGGTAACAACAAGTGCCATCTTTAAACATCTTTTGGTATGACCCAAGACTTTCTGCTCTCCGGGCGGACGCTCACTAGACCACGGAGGCAGTCCCTTGATAGCAGAGAATGAATTGATCATTGATCATATTTGTTTTAAGTTAAAAAAAAGAACCATCTTAAAAAAAATTGTTTTCAATAAATGGTTATCAGAAATAGAAATCGATCTCAGTCTTAAGGATCAATGACATGAAAAGATGACGTATTAATGTTGAAAGTAAATGTTTATAGTCCAGGGTATTAAACATACACATATTTGCTGTAAACATGTTTACTGGTATACTAGATAATGGTTGTAAGAAAATAGCACCTCCACCTACACAATCTCTCTAGCCTTCAAAACTGTTTTTCTATACGCTGCATCCATGGTTGAAGTCTTAAGAGAAGATAATGTTCAGATGCCAGAATAGATACTTTGTAGGTGGGGATCTTGTAAAGAATATTTGTCTGCACATGGGGAATGGATCAAGGAAAAGTTCATCCTCACATACTACTATCTGTCAAACTAACTCCAGCAAGACATTTAACCATCAACAAAAATAGGTTTTATTAATGTTCTTTTAACAAAGACCACATAAACCCTGTCACTCTTGGCAAAAGATATGTTTAATGTATCTGTACATATGAATACACGCTTTTGAAAACCATATTGTTGTGATCAACCAGTGAAGTTCAGAATAAATGTGACTAGCTGTACAACAGTGCTAGGCAATTTCAGATATGGCTGACATTTATGCCCCACTTATGTCCTTGAACACATTCGCATGGATTGAGGAGTCATGCTCAAGTGTTTGACTTTCTGCCAGGCCACCTGCTCTCTGCTGCAGGCAACGCTGTATATATATTAATGATACCATATCTGCAGCAATACGATACTTCGCAGTACACCCACCATGTAGCATTGTAAGGAGACGTTTCAAACCAAATGAAGTGGGGTGAGTTAAAACGGGGCTTAATGTCACTTTCAAGATTATTGCACTTATCTTCTATGGTGATGTACAGGGCTTATAGTCCAGACTAATGTTGGTTTTATAGTGCTAGCCCACTGAGAAACCAGTTTAACATGAAGACTCCACTCAGACACAAAATACTGACTCTGAGCTGACCAGTTCCTGTGGTAGCCTCATAATACCGAGCCCCAGACAGGGAAACAACAAGTACCACCTAACAACATCTCTCCCTTGTCCTACATGTCCAGTCAATGTCTCTCCCTTGTCCTGTTCATGTCTCTCCCTTGTCCTGTCCATGTCTCTCCCTTGTTCTACACATCCTCGCCATGTCTCTCCCTTGTCTTGTCCATGTCTCTCCCTTGTCCTGTCCATGTCTCTCCCTTGTCCTGTCCATGTCTCTCCCTTGTCATACATGTCTCTCCCTTGTCATACATGTCTCTTTCTTGTCCTGTCCATGTCTCTCCCTTGTCCTGTCCATGTCTCTCCCTTGCCATGTCCATGTCTCTCCCTTGTCCTACATATCCTCTCCATGTCTCCCCCTTGTCCTGTTCATGTCTCTCCCTTGTCCTGTTCATGTCTCTCCCTTGTCCTACATGTCTCTTTCTTGTCCTGTCCATGTCTCTCCCTTGTCCTGTCCATGTCTCTCCCTTGTCCTGTCCATGTCTCTCCCTTGTCCTGTCCATGTCTCTCCCTTGTCATACATGTCTCTCCCTTGTCATACATGTCTCTTTCTTGTCCTGTCCATGTCTCTCCCTTGTCCTGTCCATGTCTCTCCCTTGTCATACATGTCTCTCCCTTGTCATACATGTCTCTTTCTTGTCCTGTCCATGTTTCTCCCTTGTCCTGTCCATGTCTCTCCCTTGCCATGTCCATGTCTCTCCCTTGTCCTACATATCCTCTTCATGTCTCCCCCTTGTCCTGTTCATGTCTCTCCCTTGTCCTGTTCATGTCTCTCCCTTGTCATACATGTCTCTTTCTTGTCCTGTCCATGTCTCTCCCTTGTCCTGTCCATGTCTCTCTCTTGTCCTGTCCATGTCTCTCCCTTGTCATACATGTCTCTCTCTTGTCCTGTCCATGTCTCTCTCTTGTCCTGTCCATGTCTCTCCCATGTCCTGTCCATGTCTCTCCCTTGTCCTACATATCCTCCCCGTGTCTCTACCTTGTCCTGTCCATGTCTCTTCCTTGTCCTGTCCATGTCTCTCCCTTGTCCTACATGTCCTGTCCATGTCTCTCCCTTGTCCTGACCATGTCTCCCCCTTGTCCTACATGTCTCTCCCTTGTCCTACATGTCCTGTCCATGTCTCTCCCTTGTCCTACATGTCCTGACCATGTCTCTCCCTTGTCCTACATGTCCTGTCCATGTCTCTCCCTTGTCCTACATGTCCTGTCCTTGTCCCTCCCTTGTCCTCCATGTCCTGTCCATGTCTCTCCCTTGTCCTACATGTCCTGTCCATGTCCCTCCCTTGTCCTACATGTCCTGTCCATGTCTCTCCCTTGTCCTACATGTCCTGTCCATGTCTCTCCCTTGTCCTACATGTCCTGTCCATGTCTCTCCCTTGTCCTACATGTCCTGTCCATGTCCCTCCCTTGTCCTACATGTCCTGCCCATGTCTCTCCCTTGCCCTACATGTCCTGTCCATGTCCCTCCCTTGTCCTACATGTCCTGTCCATGTCCCTCCCTTGTCCTACATGTTTTGTCCATGTCTCTCCCTTGTCCTACATGTCCTGTCCATGTCCCTCCCTTGTCCTACATGTCCTGTCCATGTCCCTCCCTTGTCATACCTGTCCTGTCCATGTCTCTCCCTTGTCCTACATGTCCTGTCCATGTCCCTCCCTTGTCCTACATGTCTCTCCCTTGTCCTACATGTCCTGTCCATGTCCCTCCCTTGTCATACCTGTCCTGTCCATGTCTCTCCCTTGTCCTACATGTCCTGTCCATGTCCCTCCCTTGTCATACATGTCCTTTTCTTGTCCTGTCCATGTCTCTCCCTTGTCCTACATATCTTCTCCCTGTCTCCCTTGTCCTGTCCATGTTTCTCCTTTGTCCTACATGTCTCTCCCTTGTCCTGTCCATGTTTCTCCTTTGTCCTACATGTCTCTCCCTTGTCCTGTCCATGTCTCTCCCTTGTCCTACATATCTTCTCCCTGTCTCCCTTGTCCTGTCCATGTTTCTCCTTTGTCCTACATGTCTCTCCCTTGTCCTGTCCATGTTTCTCCTTTGTCCTACATGTCTCTCCCTTGTCCTGTCCATGTTTCTCCTTTGTCCTACATGTCTCTCCCTTGTCCTGTCCATGTTTCTCCTTTGTCCTACATGTCTCTCCCTTCTCCTACATGTCCTGTCAATGTCTCTCCCTTATCCTACATGTCTCTCCCTTCTCCTACATGTCTCTCCCTTCTCCTACATGTCCTGTCCATGTCTCTCCCTTGTCCTGTCCATGTCTCTCCCTTCTCCTACATGTCTCTCCCTTCTCCTACATGTCCTGTCAATGCTGCTTTTCCAACAGGTCTTTTTGATTTCAAAGGCATTTTTGGTTTGGGGTACCACAGAAGAGATGATATCATGATTTCCTCTAAACAGTTAGTGTAGACATATTCATGTCAATAACAAGCACTTAGATGAACCAACCCTTGCCATTTAGAAACATGGTCTCCAAGCACAGGGTGTAAATAACACTCTAAAAGCAAGACAATGACTTCTGATTGCATGCTAACATACCTGCAGAATTTCTGCAAAATAGTCCCTTCTTCTACACACAAACATTCCTGTAACAACTGATACCCACCCTTCTCGGCCTTCAGCTAATCTCAAGCTCCTGTCTTACAGGTACAGACAGGATCTGATGATGAACCTACCTCCACACCCTTTTCCTTGTCCTTCAGCATGGTCTCAAGCTCCTGCCGGACTTGTGTCAAGGTCTCGCTGATCTTATTCTCATCCACCAACACTTCTCCTGGATATGTTGCCATGAAGTCCTGAAAAGACCAACATGACCGTTCATTATCTGATAGTAAAATGTATGATGATATGAGCTCTGGAGATGCTTTATGTTCCTGGAAGATGCTAGGCCTGAGCTGCAGAGAAAGAACTGGACATACCCCTACATACAGCGGAGGCAGAACTTGAGAGACTGGTTGGGACTACCATGAAGACCTTGACAAGGGGTGGGATTCCACAAAGCGATCCTCGTGCTTCGTCTATTGGAATGGAGTTATGATCATTTTAGCACTAAGATCGCTATGTGGGAATGGCCTCTTGGCCCCTTTCGCCAGAGCTAACTTAACGCAAAGATGGTTGCTTCAATACATTGTCGTGAACATAGCACTTAGATTGCTGTATGGAAATAAGACCTGGCCAGGTTTAGACGTGCCCTGGGGAAAATATGCCATTATAGATTTGATTAGGGTAGAAAGTACATTCTACCAAGAACTAGATTGATAAAGTGTGAATTGATATAGAAGAGCTTTTATATCAACCTTTTAGGGTTTTGAATTTGTATACATTCTACTACCACAACTATCAACCTACAATCTATAATCCACGTCCTACAAATTACAATGTACAATCATTATACTTCAACCCACATCTTACAACCAACAACCCATATCCTACAACCCACTTCTGACAACCCACATCCTACAACCCACATCCTGTAACCCACAACCCACATCCTACAACCCACATCCTACAACCAACATCCGACAACCCACAGCCCACATCCGACAACTCACATCCTATAACCCACAGCCCACATCCGACAACCAACATCCTATAACCCACAACCCACATCCTACAACCCACATTCAACAATCCACATCCAACAACCCACATTCAACAATCCACATCAAACAACCCACATCCTACAATCCACATCCTACAACCTACAACCCACATCCTGCAACCCACATCTGACAACCCACATCCTACAACCCACATCCTACAACCCACATCCTACAACCAACATCCTACAACCCACATCTGACAACCCACATCCTACAACCCACATCCTACAACCAACATCCTACAACCAACATCCTACAACCCACTAGTTACATCCTACAACCCACATCCTACAACCCACATCCTACAACCCACAAGCCACATCCTACAAGCCACATCCTGCAACCCACATCCTACAACCCACATCCTGCAACCCACATCCTACAACCCACATCCTACAACCCACATCCTACAACCCACATCCTGCAACCCACATCCTACAACCCACATCCTGCAACCCACATCCTACAACCCACATCCTACAACCCACATCCTACAACCCACAACCCACATCCTACAACCCACATCCTACAACCAACATCCTACAACCCACATCCTACAACCCACAACCCACATCCTACAACCCACATCCTACAATCCACAACCCACATCCTACAACCCACATCCTGTAACCCACAACCCACATCCTACAACCCACATCCTACAACCAACATCCGACAACCCACAGCCCACATCCGACAACTCACATCCTATAACCCACAGCCCACATCCGACAACCAACATCCTATAACCCACAACCCACATCCTACAACCCACATTCAACAATCCACATCCAACAACCCACATTCAACAATCCACATCAAACAACCCACATCCTACAATCCACATCCTACAACCTACAACCCACATCCTGCAACCCACATCTGACAACCCACATCCTACAACCCACATCCTACAACCCACATCCTACAACCAACATCCTACAACCCACATCTGACAACCCACATCCTACAACCCACATCCTACAACCCACATCCTACAACCAACATCCTACAACCCACTAGCTACATCCTACAACCCACATCCTACAACCCACATCCTACAACCCACAACCCACATCCTACAAGCCACATCCTGCAACCCACATCCTACAACCCACATCCTGCAACCCACATCCTACAACCCACATCCTACAACCCACATCCTACAACCCACATCCTACAACCCACATCCTGCAACCCACATCCTACAACCCACATCCTGCAACCCACATCCTACAACCCACATCCTACAACCCACATCCTACAACCCACAACCCACATCCTACAACCCACATCCTACAACCAACATCCTACAACCCACATCCTACAACCCACAACCCACATCCTACAACCCACATCCTACAATCCACAAGCCACATCCTACAAGCCACATCCTACAACCCACAAGCCACACCCTACAACCCACAACACAAGCCACATCCTACAATCCACATCCTACAACCCACAAGCCACATCCTACAAACCCCATCCTACAACCCACATCCTACAACCCACATCCTACAATCCACATCCGACAACCCACAAGCCATATCCCAAAACCGTCATCACACAAACCAAATCTACAACTCCCATCCTACAGCCTCATGTTCCAACAATGTTGTGTATTTGATTACTGTTTGTTTTGCTACAACAATGAGATGATGACACCACATATTTCTCTGCTTTCACCAATGAATGCCATCAGTGTTTGGCATTTACAGATAAAGGTTGACAGACAAAATGATGATCCAGTTACAGTGTAAAAGTCAGAACTGAAAGAGGAAAACAGAATCTTTATTAGATGAAATCCCACACAAATAATCCCACGCCACTCAGTACATACTTCGGCCATTACATAGCTCATGATGACAAGTAAGATGAAAAACAAACAAAACTTTCAACACCTCAATTGTTTGAACATCTCTTCATTAGACTTTGAGGAAATTATGTTCTTTCTTTTCACGTCTACAAAGTTTCACTTGACAAACTCATCATCACCACTTTGTCGTAGCTTGATTAAAACACAATCCATAATGACCAATGGGAAAAACACACAGCTTAAATAACAAACAATCAAGGGGATACCTGTTTCAAAGGAAATTCTGCTCCAATTTTACGATAGTTAGTTTGTATTGCAGTAATTGGCTGGAAATTGGTTGTGATCAAGTCAGCAATAAAGGTTGAGCTCAGGGACTGACAATTAGGAAGTATATCTAGAGTTTAATTTGTCATCTCCTGCTCCTCTTTGAAGACAACAGCATGGCAAGCAATGCTAATTTGTATCTTCTCTGAACAAGGACTGTGTTACTCTCTACCCAAATGAACACTACCTAGAGAGTAGCTTTGAAAATAAGCTTGTATATTGGTTTGATGCCATCTTTAGGCTGTAGAATACCTTCACAATTCTGTAAATATTTCAGCCAAGACTTGGTTGCTTGTATATAGGGTTGATGCCATCTATAGGCTGTAGAATACCTTCACAATTCTGTAGATATTTCAGCCAAGACTTTGTCACTTGTACATTGGTTTGATTCCATCTTTAGGCTATAGAATACCTTCACAATTCTGTAGATATTGCAGCCAAGACTTTGTCGCTTGTATATAGGTTTGATGCCATCTTTAGGCTGTAGAATACCTTCACAATTCTGTAGATATTTCAGCCAAGACTTTGTTGCTTGTATATAGGTTTGGTGCCATCTTTAGGCTGTAGAATACCTTCTCAAGTCTGCAGATATTCAACCAGAATTTGTTTGAAGCATCGCATCTATTTAACATGGATCAGATTGGTGGTTTGCTTGTCTTATGAGTCAGAAATATTAGAGCTATATCACAGCAGCATGTAACTGAGTCAATTGAACAGGGAACAATGACACACATTTGTCCAACAAGCCTAAACACAAGATCTATTTTAGTCAACTTTAAAGCCAATAATACTGGGGAGCTATACTATCCCCGAATCCCCGCAGGGTGGTTTTGAAAGTGTGTTTTGAGAAATGCCACATTTCAGTCAAAACACACATTCTCAGCTTAAGGTTGGAGGGGCAGTCGGGTAGCCTAGTGGTTAAAGCGTTCGCTTGTCACGCCGAAGACCCGGGTTCAATTCCCAACATGGGTAGAATGTGTGAAGCCCATTTCTGGTGTCCCCCGCCATGATATTGCTGCAATATTGCCAAAAGCGGCGTAACACCATACTCACTCACTCACTTAAGGTGGGAGGAAAGCCTCAAACCACTGGGCCTCCCGTTCCCACAATGATTTACAGAGTTGACAGATGGGTCAACTGGGTAAGTATAGGTCTTCGGACATGGCTGTCTGTCAGTATTTTGGGGTTTGGGGGATTTTTAAAAAAAAAATTTGTTTGTTTATTTGTGTGTTTGTTGTTTAATGCCACACTCAGCAATATTCCATCTCGACTATCAGTGTGACATCATGCCCAAATGAGTTCACTCTCAGCCAGTTGTTTGCTGTTATGAACCTATGAACATACTATCATGGTTTCCTGGAATACTGCCAAAACAACATAAAACAAAACATGCTAACATAAAAAATCATTCATAAAATAACTGAATGTCATTCAAAATCCGAATTGATTTGAACATTTTCTGTCATCATGGTTATATCCACCGTCTAAAGTCCCAAGTCCAACATCACAGTCTGAACATCATCGAGAGGCTCATTGAAAGACCAGGGAGTGCTTGACCTCCAATAAATCACCCAAACTTCTATCACACCACAGATAAACATCAATGGCTTGCACTTCATAGTGCCCCCTTCTAGGACATCTCCAGAGCTCGACCCATCAACCAGACTTCCTTCAAGTCCCACACCAAGAGTCATAACAAATAGGGGATGCTATCCCAGATATGTCAGCTGCAGTTTGAACTATGACCCTTTGGGGGTCCTTTATTTCATTGGGTATTTCATCAAAGTAGCTCTGAAGTTGTCTGTTGATATAATCCTGCAAGCTTCCAGAACCTTGCTGATATGAAGGAACATTCTACGCCCTCCATTACCATACATTTATAGCTACATCATGCCTAGTGATGTTTTATATCAAATTTCATACTTTTATTGACCAAGTTTGTTATACCTGTTATTCACCTGAATTCGCTGAAGGGATATGCTGTTTTTTGAAAATGTGATGAATATTTTTTTACACTATGAATCATAACCAACTTCTAATCTAATCTTTT